CTGCTGCTGCTGCTGCTGCTGCAGCAGCAGTCTGTGCTCCCCTGCTTCTTTTGCGCCCGCGCTTTCTCCCCGTCCTCAACTCCTCATTATTTAACATTATTAATTAATTAATTAATTAATTAATTAATCAATTCCTTTATTTATTTGTTGTTTGCTGCTGCAGGTGGTTTATGTGGACGGGTGGCCGCATGTGCTGCTGACTTCCATTCCGGGGGTGCCGCTGCAGCAGGGGGAGCAGCTTTTTGTGGATTATGGATTTGACTGGGCAGCAGCAGCAGATGCTGCTGCTGTGCGTTACGCGCGGCAGCAGCTGCGGGTTTTGCGGCTGCTGCAGCGGCGGGGGGGGCCCGCAGCAGCAGCAGCAGCAGCAGCAGCTGCTGCAGCAGCAGCAGCGCCGGACCTCGACGAAGACGCCTACACCAGCGACCAGCTCTGCGCCATTTGCTGCTCAAACTCGCTGCCCCGCCTCGAGGCCCCAGCAGCAGCAGCAGCAGCAGCAGCAGCAGCAACGCAGCCCTCCAAGCGCCAGCAGCAGCAGCAGCAGCAGCAGCAGGACAGCGAAGAGGAGGAAGCAGGCAAGGAGGAGGGAATTGTGTGCGACGGCTGCAACAGGGCTTTTCATTTGAGGTGTATAGACACTCCAAATGAAACAAATCCACCAAATCCAAACTTAGAATGGTTTTGCTGCTTCTGCCTCCAGTTCGCAAAAAGGGTACTGGGGGGCCCCCGGGGCGGCCCCCAGGGGGGCCCCCAAAGGGCCCCCACGGAGGGGGCGAGTGGGTTGGGGACAGCAGCAGAAGCAGCAGCTGCTGCTGCTGCTGCTGATGCGGAGCTGCCGCCGCCAGATCCGTCTCTGGTGCTGCCTCCTGGGCTCAATGAAGCAGCAGCTTTGGCAGCAGCATCTGCTGCTGCTGCTGCTGCTAAAGATGATGCAGCTGCTGCTGCAGCAGTTGCTGCTGGAACAGCTACTGCAGCAGATGGGGATGCAGCACGTGCAGCCACGAACGCGGCTGCAGCGGCAACAGCACCAGCAGCAGCAGCAGCAGCAGATGACACCTCAGCTGCAAACGCAGCAGCAAAGGAAGCAGCTTCGAAGCAAGGCACAGCAGCAGGAAGTGAACCAGCAGCAACAGCAGCAGCTGGACCAGCAGCAGCAGCTGATGAAGCAGCAGTCGCAGCGCAACCAGCAGCGGCCGAGTCACCAGCAGCAGCAGCGGAACCAGCAGCAGCAGCAGAACGAGCAGCAGCAGCAGGAGCGACAGAACCAGCAGCAGCATCAGGAGCGACGGAAGCAGCGGCAGCAGCAGCAGCGGAAGCAGCAGCAGAGCCAGCAGCAGCAGCAGCAGCAGCAGGCCGTGTGTTCTCGTCTTTCGAAGCAGCAAAACTTGCTGCAGCAGGAAGGCCCCCAGTGCCCGTGAGGGGGGGGCCCCCCTTATCTGCTGCTGCGTGGGGCCCCCAGCAGCGCCGGGGGGCCCCCGGGGGCCCCTCCTTACCAGACTCTACTTTTTTGAAAGCAATAAAACCCTGCAAGGATTGCAGAAGACAATTCGGCAGAGACGCAAACCCCATTACTTGCAGGTAGGGTTTGGGGTTTAGGGTTTAGGGTTTGGGGTTTAGGGTTTAG